TTTTGTAGTGTGAGACCTTGAGTCTTATGTATTATTAACGTAAACGAGTTTTGTAAGGGAAATTGAGTACGCGATGCTTTGGGATATTGCATTGCATGTGGGGTAAACAATCTCCCTTTTACAGACCTAACGCGTTATAAGACTCCCGTCTTGTTTTTATATTTGAGTGAAATGCAATTTGTAGTCAGAGAAAGAGAACGATACGACTGCAAAAGACGAACACTGGATTCATTGTAAAGAATTGTAAAGACGACTATGCAAAGAATTATTGTTGTTATAATAATCATCATATTCTGATATATCCGAGCTTTTATTGCACAAATTTACTTTCGTCACATTATATAATCATTCTCGGCAGTCAGAATTTTTAAATTTTCACATGTGTTTAACAACTTTCAATAAGCAACGTACTAACACATTTCAAGCTATCAAGTTACACATACTGTAACCGAACGATAAAGTACACAACGAATAACAGTACAGTCAAACAATAACATTTAGTCAGTAGGCTCTACACGTTTTCTCGATAAAATTGCTACCATGACTTCCTGAAATATGCTGTGAGTGTTTGTCGTTTTAATGATAATTTGGATTTAAAACTGTCGCTTGGGAAATTAAGACATATTTGATCGGACTATCATTGAAATCTGCTGCATTACATCGCCTCGCATCTGTCTTATCACTCTTATCAGATAATCGACTGCCTGGATATGCTCACATGTATTAATTCCATTTTAATATTAATGATTGCGTGGATAGCAGTACGGCACTGATAATGCGTTGATAAAATTATTCGCAATAATCAAATAACATGAAACGTAGTAACTCTTCGCAAATGCGAAACAGTAACTCTGGAGGTTAGTGTGCAGTTAAATCTCGCTTGTATGTATATGAAGCCCGAGCTATTTTGATACCTCGAACTATTTAACCATTCAAAATCCCAAGGGAGACCAGCAAAAAAGTTACAACCCAAACAAGCGATACGCCAGTAAATATTGAAGTTACCCAATCTAGAATTATACCAGTACAAGAAACATTCGATAATAATTACGATGGACAGTCCGTCTTGGATTCGAGTATCGATACATACAGAAATTATGGCATGTTGATTGATTGCATACATACCTAACATTCTTCCAATTTCATAGGCATTCTTGAAGCAAACGAGCGCGCTATTCATGATGTGGTGTCAGAACCGGACACATCGTTAGAACCTGAAGATATCCGTATTCAAGCATTGAATAATATGTTTGATATATGTTCCTGGATTGCCCACAGACCGAACTAGCAATTGGCTATATCAATAAGAGATGCCATGTCCACAACTCTGAGATTCCACATTACTACAACCGTCAATGACGTGAGTGTACATTGAGCATTTACACGTTGACCGCTTACATCAAATTTTGCTCATACATTTATTTGTGGTTCCAGGAAACAAAAATGAGTTATTATCAAACCGGACTCAAGGTTCTTTTTTTAAGAACACAAAATAACAGTAATCACTTAGCGTATAGAATTTGAATAGTAATACAAAGTCTTTCAGTATTATACTAATTTGTAATATATATTAAAAATTCAGCATTGTTGCGTAACAAGAATGTTGTTTTATAATACTGATACAGTTGTAAAACGCAAATGATCAATTATCTAAAATGTTGATTACGTAGTTTAAAGAAATTTTCTGAACGATTTGTGTGACAATAAAAGTCCCTAGATGCACATTAGGTGTATGTTTAATTGAAGCCATGATGAGAAGAACGATATGTTGTCTTAAAAGGACATTCAATGTAAGTTTAATGTAATGGAAGTTAAAAGATGTCGTAAACTAACTATTGCGAGGAAGTTTTATTCAGAAGGTATTTGCTGAAGCACCAGTTTAGGCTGTTTTTGTCTATCTACAATACATGCAGAGAGGAAGAGAACAAAAGCTCATGCTATTAGAGAGATATATCTTTTTACACTAAATCTTGAATTTTTGACAATCTCGCCACGAGTTAGACTAGATATTGATACGAGATCGCAGAGATCTCAGATCGTCACTACGTTTGACGTTTGATTCTATCAATATCTTGTATAGGGTGTGTATGATCAGGAGAATCTTTATACCGCTCGATTTGAACAACTTCC